TTAATATTACGAAAATCTGGAAAACAATATCCAAAATTATCTAATCACATGAGTTATAAAATTTCACCATTTCAGAAAAATGTTTGTAACTTAACAATATTAAATTTTGATGCAATATTGGCATAATTGTATTGTAGTAGTAAGTATACTAGTGTTAGATTTTGATTAGAGACTCACTAGTGTATACCATTATTGTAGGAATCGGTATTGGTACAAGTGGAATGTGGTTCAAGGAACCATTTGCATCATCTCAATACATTGTGATTATTCACGACTCCCCTTATTTTCGGGTTTTAAATGTTTTGGGGTGGAAAAGCATGTCTAAAGACTGTTTATTGTTCATTGTATTTAATTTGACTTGTATCAAACTTGGTTGCTATATTTTGTTGTGTACGTGTGTGCTATTGTTAACTCATGAGGCCTTATCATGTTTAAGTCCCTGGAATCAATTCACACAACTAATTAACTCATTTGAGCCCATGGTCCTTATGGATAGCGTTATTAGGTGGTAGACAACTCCTCACTCGCACGATTCGCTTGAGTGCATTTTACCATATTTCCCTATGTTAGCGATAGACATAGAAGAGGGCACCCCCGGTCATTAGGCTTGGGTTATGAACTCATGATATAATAATTATGCACATACGAACCTTGTATCTCGTTTTAGCAACAAACTTTAATTCCTATGAGAATATGAACGTTGCATCTTAATTGGGCAACATACTTTATCTCTCGTGATGACAACAAACTTTGTTTATGCAAACTTATTTACTCATTTTTGCAATATATATCTATTTATGGAAACTTTATTTCCCATGAGAATATGAACGTTGCATCTTATTTGGGCAACATACTTTGTCTCTCATGATGACAACGAACTTTGTTTATGCAAACTTATTTACTCATTTTTGCAATATATTTCTATTTATGGAAACTTTATTTCCCATGAGAATATAAACTTTGCATCTCATTTGGGCAACATAATTTATCTCTCATGATGACAACGAACTTTGTTTATGCAAACTTATTTACTCATTTTTGCAATATATTTCTATCTATGGAAACTTTATTACTCGCTTTAGCAACAAACTTCTTTTCATGCAAACTTATTTACTTATTTTAGAAAAGAACATTGTTTATGGAAATTGTTATCAATATCCTGATTATCATGATTTCAAACTATACTATGTTATAAACTTGTGAGTACTCACCAACTATTTTTATAGTTGATGCTCGTTTTACATGCTTTTTCAGGAATCGTCTAGTAAGAGGCACATAGAGACACATCACTTTTAGGAGCATGCGCATGTGTTGTATTTCAATTCACATTGTAATTTCTTTTAAGTTGTTCAAACCTATTGTAAAATTGCAATGCTTTTGAATACTATGGTTGGTGTTGTCTTTATCTTTTTCTATGAAACCATTTGTACTGCCACACCTTGTATTTCCGCTTTTGTGGGGTGTGACAGAAATGGTATCAGAGTCAAAGGTTATAGAGAATACTGGTTTTCCTTTGGAGAACCACAACTATGGCCAAAAAATTTCAAAATGTTTTTAAAATTTTGAACATACTACTGGTATAACTAATTCGAGTAAGCATTATTAGACTTTAATTACAGATAGTCTGGCCAACTAAGCTTAATTAAGGAAAGTTAATGCGAGACTGGAAACGGTTATCGTAGAATTATGTTCAAAACAATTTTCAACTTAAACTTTTGAAAAACAAAATTTTTTCGGTGTGCGTACGGGCATTGCATATTATAGGCATTCATATTTAACACTTAGAAACTAAGTTCACTTTTATAACAATCCCTTTATTTAGAAATATGCTTATCCATTATCAAGTGCTAGGTTAACCACTTAGGTTATATCACTAGTCACTCTAGGAGAAATGGACTTAGTACTGAGAATGAGTATTCCTCAGTTGCTATTGACTTTAGATGTAAGGTTAGTAGCTAGATATACACTAGTAATAATCATAAGTCGAAACCTATACCAATTATTCCTCAATACATCTTCATCGTCTTCGTACTAGAGTTACAACTAGGAAAGAGTTTCGATACCGTCACGGATGAAAATTGGAGCATCGCGTAAGGAGGTAGATGAGTCGCCACTAAGTAATCACTTGGATACCATCGGTGGGCATTTCGGATTCAACTCACGAGGAGACACGGAGATTTAACCCATACATGAGACCTTATTACTACGCTACGATTTAGCTCTAGGTTGTCTCCCACTTTGAGCTTAAAACTTAACATAGGATATCCCTTTGAACTCTATAAAAGGTCGTAAACTACATTGACACCATAAAATGTTTTTTCAAACAATTTTTCTTGTCCTTTATTTTGGGGAAAAGACACCGGTACTCGCCTTAGACTCGCCTTGTACTCTCCTTAGTATTTAGGTACGATCAGCTACACCAATATACCTATTCCTTACTTCTTAATCTTCCATCGAAAAGTTATTTCGCTTCATCGATTTTATTTATCATCAATAAAATACTTTATAACCACTTCATACAACTTACTAGACCTTTCCTAACAATGTAAGCCATATTCTCGCTAAAATCTCTTGACAACTTGCTTTAACTTAACACTTTTATTGAAAACTCAATTTAACCAATATTGGTTTTAACCTTGCTATTTCAATTTCATTTCAAATCCATTTCAATGGATAGATGTGCTTTTAAGGACATATAAACCATTTTAAATCTTGCTTACCATTTTGGCATGTTTTCGAAAAACTTAGAGACATTTTCTTTTATAAAAGTGTTTAAACACTATGCTATAAAACTTAAACATATAACATTGAAGTCATATTATATGTAAAAGCCTCCTCAGATTTCCCAAACCACTTTTGTTTTGACACATTCAACCGCTTTCTCTTTTAAGCATTGTACTTTACTTAAATGTGTTTTCTTGAAACCCAACATGGTATTTTTACAACTTTCTAATTCAAACATATTTATAAAAAATCTCTAATTCCTACATTTCCAACATACCTCATTTGTTTATTTTATTTCAAATTATTTCAAACTATTTTTACAACTTTCTAATTCAAACATATTTCTAAAATTTAAAGCATTGCAAAACTTAGTGTTCACTTTTAAACTTCCAGTGACGCACTTTCGACAATGCACAATTGTTCATCCAAATATATTAAGTCTTTACTTTATCCAATTTAACCATTGTTGGACTACATCCTAAAAAATCAAATTGTAAGATTTTTAATTACTAGTTATGGTGTTTCTTCTTTTTCACAAATGGAGTTTAACTTAATAAGATAACTCATGATTTTTGGCAAACACTTTAAAACTTCCACATGTCTATTTAATCCTCAACATATATCAAGTATTGAAGTTCAAATTACATCTCATCCTAGTTTTAAATCGGCATATAATTATTGATCTTAAAAATTTAACAATAGCAAATATTGTTGCTCCCTTCCTTTTCTGTCCCCCGCACTTGATTTCTTGCTCTCCTTCTGATTTCAGATCTTGAACACCCATAATAATAACATAATATATTGCCTAACTTTGTTTCTGTGTATTTTGCTTCTCTTGGTACCATGTTCTTACACATGTAGATTAGAAGTCTACCATTTCGTTTTGAGTAATTAATATGTGTATAGTTGTGAGACATAATTTTGATTTAGTCAACTTTTATATATTCAATTACGCCATTTATCACATACATTTTATTTTTATTATGAAATCTAAAGTAAGTAAGTAATCTTTATTTACATTCTCTCTTTTTTTTCTAAATTTAAAAACTTGATTTAAAGTGCAATTTTCATTGTATTTTTCTTACAATTAATACACAACTAGGTGGGGACCCCCGCGTTGCGGGGGTCGGATGCGACAATTTTTTCCGTTGTTTGTTCTTTGTAAATGTCATTTGATCAACTATTGATAAACACAGAATTCCTAAACACCCTGTAATGAAGAACACATAAATCAATTTTCTCACCAAAATACTAAAAAATAGATTTCAAAATAATCACAATTTAAGCCGCAACTTTCCATCTGACCATAGCAGCCTATTATTATGAAAAATTGCCTGAAATATCCCTTAAACAGCTTCAGTAATAAAGTCACAAAATAAAATAATGTTTCGGTTTAATAAAACAGGTTGCATATCTTTTAATAAAACAGCCTATTATTACGATCAGAAGTTTTACGGGAAAAAATTTCAATAAAAACAGGAAATATTTTTTAAATTTGAAGTACAGTGCTATTCACTGCATCTATAACCTAAAATGGAAAACTAATCAAAATGACAATGCAAAAAACAGGAAAAGAAAAATAGGTACAACTTCAAAGTACATTGTTACTTAGGACATTTTAGTACAAAAAATAAAAAATGTACCTAATGGCAATGTAGTTAGGTTTTTGGAAAAAAGAATCAAAGAAAAATGGAAAAAAAAGAAGAAAAACGTGAAAATTCAAAGTATGTTGCTATTTACTACAATTATACAAATGCTTCCATGTCACATGCAATATTAAAACAAACAGTTATTAAAAAATTAGTAGTTGTAAAAATTAGTAGTTGTAATTGGAGGTCAATAACAAACAAAATGATAGTATTAGTTTAAATTTAGCAAAAAATAAAAAATGTTCCAACCTTGCAATTATAAATGTATAAATGCAAAGTTCATTGCTATTTAGAGCATATTACTCCTAAAAATGGAAAATGCACCTAATGCCAATGTAGTTAGGTTTTTGGAAAAGAAAAATCAGAAGAAATTAAAAAAAAAAGGGAAAAATTTGTAAATTCATAGTATGTTGCTATTTACTACATTTACAAACTAAATATGGAAAAGTTTAATGTGATACAAGTGTCAAATATAGATCACATGCCTTATTTTCCAATTGATTATCAAAGAAAAACAATAATTTTTATTTATAATCCTCTAGTTAACTGTCCAAGTTACATGGTTGGAACTCAATAGGGGCTTAGGGGGGCCATGGTTGTAACTCAATATGCCACCTTTCTTGTGGATCATCCTGAAAAACCACTTGTTGAATCAACCGAAGATCTCCCCATCAGCAGATATCTGCCAAAAACAAATAAATAAATAAACTTGTGCACCAACGGGAACAGGGAATGTGAGATTATGGAGGAAGCCATTGATGTTACGTGTAAAAATAATCAAAAACTATTTATTATCTAATAAACTACGAAATCAGCAGGAATATCCAGCCGAGCAATGTTGTCGCCTCGAAAGGACTTGGCAGCTTTTGACTTTGAGTCGGTTTTCTACTATTCGCTGCTGCCCACAAACTTCTACGATAGCTTTGTAATTTCCATTAATGCCAACAGACTTAATCAAAGGGATACACAGCACAAAACCATACGTTGTAAAATCATGAATCCACAGACCTGAAATTCCCAAGAAATGCCTAAAAATGTTCAAATGAGAATTTAAGAATTTAGCATATTCAAAGGACCTATCATACAAGTTGAAAATAGTTCAGATTGATACCTCTTACAATTATGTGGGGGAAGTGTAATATCATCAACCTCCAAAAGAACATGAAATCATGCCAACCATTAGATAACGGAAAACTGTTTCATACTTGAATTACATTGCTATAATTATGCTAAATGTTAATAGTAGAATGTTGTAATAGGAGTTAAGAATGAAAGAATGATGATATAAGGAACAAATCAGTAGAATCACATTGCTAATTGTTGCACCTAACCCTAACTATGAATCTTAATTACCCCCTAAAATACCCTCTATACAGGGTCTAGGAAGGTGTCACTTTTTGTTTACCCCTTCCATCCATCTACCTGCATAGGAACAACGCAAATATCAACACAAACATTTTTGCCACTAATAGTAACATGATAGTAACAAAGAGATAGAAGGGCATCGATATGAGGTTTAGAGTACAATATTGAAATAGGAGAATATCAAAGTAGGATGGTATAATTGGTCGTACCGGTGGCTCTGATACCAACAACAGTAGTTTGGTAAACCTATAACAAAATGAAAAAACCAAAAAAAAATGTTTGCATTCTCACACTTCTTTTCCACCTTCTTACCAACAGCAGTACAATATTTCTGGTGTTTTTACGATATTGCCCTCAACTAACTTTGTTGTTGAATTAAATTTTGGGGGTCGTGAAGGAGGTGGCATCATTCCATCGGTCATCGGAATTGGAATAGGTGATTCCATCTTTGTACTACTTTTGGAATCATATCCATTTGGAATTGATTTTCCAGCTGGCTTCTCAACTTTTGGCAAGAGGAGCACCCATTTCACCCCTGTAGTGGAATCAATAATCATTATAATTGCATATTCAAATATATTTATAACATTATACTTTTAGATTATTTCTTATTAGGGTAAATGAAAATGGACTTAGTATAATCTCTTTTTTTATTAGATAACAATATCAAATAAGCTAAAGTGTGATGATAGTAAATTTTTATGGAAAATAGGGAAGAAATGTTCGGTCGTATGTCCTTATCATTTTGGGAAATTGATTCGGTGGTCCCATGGTTGCCTACACAATTTAAAAAACACAAAAACATAATTCAATTCAGAATGGGTAAAATATGTAATGAGAGGTACATTGCGAAGAAAAACAATCATAAAAAGTTAGGATTACCATATAAGAGTTCGAATCATTAGAATATGAAGATGAAGGGATCCTGTGAAAATACAAAGATAATTCATTCCCCTGTCAATGAAGAAGCAAAAAGCATGAAATAAGATATACATCATTTCTATATCATTATCATATGAATATGAATCCTTTAAAATCAGACATTTTGACTTTTTCAAAAGCTTATTTATTAATTTTCTTTCCTTTAAGTCACCTCATCAGTCATAACCAGACAGAAAAAACACGAAAAATGAAAAAAAAATCTCTAACTACTTAATCCAAGGGTTGATATCACTTCAGTAGCACCAAGAAGTAGTCCATCCCAATTTACATAGAAAACATTCCCTGATTTATGAACTTAAAAGTCATTTTAACCTTAGTCATGCTATTTGACTGGTATTATCCAGCATTGTTGTTTGTTGTTAAAAAGACAAAGTACATTTCTAGAACTTAAAATTATGTTAATGTTAATGATAGTTAATTGAGTAAACATAAACCAACACTAACACATTAAATTTCTCAACAAAAAAATATGTTTAGCTTTTCAGGTTAATGGTGATTTTTTTTACTTCAATTTTTCCTGTTTTAAGGCTTTTTGTGTAATCTTCCTGTATGTAAATAGTGGGTGTTCACTTAGCCATCAGGCTAACAGGAACTCCACAACACCAGAAAAATGAGAACACCAACTTACACAGTTGAGAGCATGAACACCAAAATTAAAAAGCAATGCAGTTTTGAAGAACATGTATGTAATTCTTCACTTATCCTTAAAAAAAGCACACATGAAAAAAAAGCCTCATAGAATATTATTTATTACAAGAACAGAAAATACTTAATTTAGCATAGCATAATCAGTCACCTGCACAGGGTATACATTCCACAAAGAATGTTTTCGAAAAAGATTTGCATGGATTTTTGCCTCTGACAATTCTGACCCGGTTCCGGTTTAGCAAATTTTGGCTCTTCATGTCTTTGAAACCACGTGTTGTATTTTTTATGGTACCTCCATGATTGTTTCTTTAATTCTTTTGCAGCCAGATAGTGTTGATAAGCATTCTGCATGAAATCACACACACATTTTAGAAAATTTAAAATAAAAATTACAAATGATATAAAATAAAAATACCTATTGATAATAAATGCAAAAAATAAAGTATCGATCCCAATGTTGTCGGATCCAAGACGTTCCCAAAAGGCTGAGTTGTTCACAATTGGAGCTTGCACTTGTGGATAGCTTTACGGGGTCACCGCAGGTTGCCTCTGTAAAAGAGTTAAATAAAAAATAAAAAATGAAAGTATGATGTAATAATATGTACTGCAGTGTAGATTTTGGGACGTTCTGAGTCTCGGGGTTGGGGGAGTTTGTAGAAGGCGGACTCAAGCATTTGGAGGTTGTATTGTTGGTCGTGGGTCCCACCTAGGGACACGGCTAACCCACTAACGTTGTCTCCAATTGCACCCAAGTCAGACAGGATTCTTCTACCAATCACACATAGGCTAACCGACTGGTTTGATTGTAATGGCTGACCAGGTGACAGGTCAACATCGCGTGTGCTTTGTGCTGCTACTGTCATAGTCCCAGATCCCTAAAAAAATTATATTATAAAATATAAACCGTAGAAGAAAAATGAATTAAAAATAAATTATACCTGCTGCATGTCTAATGCATATGAGACGTTTAAATCTTCTTCATTGGAAGTGTTCTTGTTAAGGACAGGAGATTGTGCAGGATCAGGTATTGAGTCATCAGATGTAACGCTTTGTTGGTGTATTTGTTGTTGCTGTTGTTCAATCTCATCAACTTTTGAATTATTATTTGCTGCTTCAAATCGTAATTTGTTTTTAAATTTCATTTATCTTTGACAATAATGTTAAAAAAAAGTCAAAGAGTTTACCGCTATCTTTAGAACCGGTTGACATTTGTTGACTTGACTGTAAATGGATTAGATTTTTTTGTTGTGCTGACGTGGCAGTGTTGGGACTTGCTGGCGGTGGCCCACCCAATCCACTTGAGCTTTGGGAATTAAACTGTGAACATATTAACATAACAATAACATCATTTATTTAAAATAAAAATAATCTAAAGAATTACAAAATATGAAATATGAAGGAGAAACCTGCTGTAGAAGAGGGTTTTGCTGTGTTGAAAATTGCTTATAGGTTCCTCAAGAAATAGGCGGCATTCCAGGAGGGGTGCCGCTTCCTTGTTGTTGTACTTGTTGGAATCTCTGCAAAAATTTCTCCCTTTGATCTGGTGCTATTTCAGTTCTTCCACGGAGTCGTCCCTGTTAAAATTAAAATTAAAAAAAAAAAAGTAAATACATTAATAGTATTTTAGTTAATGTAGATACAATATAATGTACAAGTGCATACCCCTTCATGCAGAGTTTGGAAGGAACTTCCAGGTCTCTACTGAATGCCAGGAACACCAGAAGGTGAAAAGACTCTTGTAGACCAAGTAGGTGATAGAATATGGTCCGAATTCTCATATTGTAAGGAACCAATAACTGAAACATGATAGTAGATACGGCCTGGTTCCACATTGCAACCTACACAATGAAAATAAATTTGAACACATTATAAACAAATATCATAAGTAAAAGGAAATCTTAAAGAGGGGTAGAAATGTCTTTTTCAGAGTACTTATTTTACAAAAGATGAATTAACTACTGAACTCTTAGAACTCATAACCAAGTAATAGAGTGGAAGTAGGTTTAAGCCTGCCATTTTCTTGAATTTGCACAAAAATAGACAAATAATAATGAATTGATAAAATGATATGGTAAAACCCCAAAATCATATAAAATGTAATGTTAAAAAATTAATACCTTTTGAAGAAGGTTCATACAGAGCTTCTGAATTTCGTGACTTCAACTGCAAACATTTTCCATAAGCTATCATGATTTCAATCACTACTAACATAACCAAAACTACATTAACTATAACAGAAGGGAAAACAATTTTGTTGAGAAAAGAAACATTTAGAACACTAATTAATCTATCCAATAAATTAATATAAAATACAAGTAAAGCGATGATAACAACATAGAAAAAGAGACCTAGGAATTTCATCGAATACCTGGTGGGCAGCAGCCAAAACTTCATCCATAACAGTAAACCTCTCTTTATATAGAGCAACTATAAAAAGATAGAAGATTTGTAAAAAGACCTGAATAAAAAAGTGCAAAAAAATTGATTAATTACCTCTGGCATCATCAACGACTGCAGTACGCCTAATCAAGTTAGAGAACCAAAAATCCATGGATGAAGATGAGAAGCCCGCAGTCGGAAGTCTTGAGCCAAAAATCCTAATTTTGGGAATCAAGCAATCATCGTGTTGTCCGTAACTTTACACACCTATATGGTTTATAGAATCAAGAAAGAAACATAACTGGGATTAAAAAAAACCCGAAAATGAAATCATATTGAGAAATTCGGAGTGTTATCAGGTTTGTTTTGGTTGTCGATTTGTAGAAGAAGCAAAAGCCCTAAAATTGAGAGCGATTAAGCGGTTTGGTGATACTTTTTTTGTTGGTTCGGTGGTTCCATTGTGTGTTTTTTTTCCATGATCGACATAGGCAATAAAAGAGAATTTTGTGTGCAAATTCGTAGCAAAAACTAAAACATACTTGATGGAGAAAGGGTGTGCCATCACCGGAGCCATTGGGGAGTGGTAGCTAGAAGAAGAAGTGAGAAGCGTATACTTAATCACCCACCGGAACTTCAAAGCACCACAGCTGAAGTGAGAGGAGGCGGTGGAGGTCAGAATGGAAGCAGGGAAAACACACCTGTGCCACCAAATCCATGGCAGCCATTGAAGGCACCGTAGTAGAAGGAGCAAAATCGATCGTGGGGTGGGGTGGGGTGGGGTGGGGTGGGGTGGGGTGGTTTTAGGGCTTCTAGACGATTTTGATGGGAGAAGAAAAGGTTGGATAAGAACAAAGAAACTGAAGACATTCCTTACCATGGTCAAGGAGCGAACCCAATGAACAGTAGCCTAGTTAGTACCTTTGTTAGGCACTATTCGTAAGAAGTGTCCTCCTTTAATATATATATATATATATATATTATATATATATATATATAAAAGAATATGAAAAACATTGTTCTTATCATTTTTCTAAATCCATAAAATATATGTGAAAGAATACATTTTCTTATGTTTCTTCTTCTCTTTCAAATTCTAAAAAGTTTTAAATGTTATGATTATTTATCCCTCAAATGATTGTTTTTGTAAGATCACTAATTAATAAATGCATTATTTTCAATGATCGATATTTTTATACCTTTCTTAAAATAGTGTTCTACTTTGGAATTTTCAGTGAGTTTCTAAACTCTCAAACTTGTTTTCATAAGTATTATGGCTCCTAGTAAGCTTGAATTTGTCCTTACTTAAATAATTGGACAATTTTTCAAAAAGTGTAATACCAATATTTCTATACCATTTCCTTTAATGACGAATTAAACATTTAACCTTAATTAATCTGTCTAGTATATTACTACTTCGTTTGATCGTCACTCGTGTATCTTCATTCTCTTGGAATTACTATACATTTTAATACTGGTGAGATTACTTATTATTTCTAAACACTCAAAATGTTATCTAGACAATGTGAATTAATTTATCATAAACTTTCATCGCCTCCATTTGCAAAAATGACTCTCTAGATATATACATTCTTTGAATATGGGTTTATGTAGCAAGACTAAATTAGTAGTAAATATAGCCTCTAAGATCCTTGATCATTTCGTAATTTATTGTGTAAAACGACACTTGTATAATCTTCACATTTGAAATGCACCAAAACTTTGATGCCTACCCTTAATACGTATTTGTAGGAACTTACCCTCGATTGCTTCTCTTTCATTCGTGCTACCCCTTCTTATTTCGAAATATATCTTTTCTAGATTTAGTAGCCAACCTGCAAGTGAACAAATTGTTCCTAACCTTTTTTTCCAGGCGACAAATTTACACTTAGTGTTGATTTAGAATGCAACTGAAGAATCAATGCGAACTTAACGCTCAATGCAGTTGGTGCTTCATAAATGAATTATAATGATCTTTTAAGTTAGATAATATCTAACGGGATAATCCTTTTTGAACGAGGTCGCCATGGTTGGGTCATGATTTCCATGATCCTATTTTCCCACAATCTAGACCGTAGAACTCTAATTAGGGAAACATTAGTTTGATTATAGATAAAGAATTGGGCTCTTCCCAGGAACCAGAATACGTCACGAATTGAATTTCAGGACGAAATTCTTTCAACCAGGGGAGACTGTGACAACCGTCAAATTTGAGAGAGTTCTAGATTTGAATAAACTTAGTTGCACATATAAGCACTACACAAAATAGACTTTGTAAGTAGATGCTAAGTTATAACCTACTAAAAACTAGGAAACAAGTAGAATCGATGGCTAGTGTATTTAGATTTCACATTGATATGTGGATTTTACAACTACTTAACTGTAGTGACTATCCAAATTCAGATCACACTTTGACTCGACCACCTTTTCATGAATCATATACAAAAATCATGCACTTGAACTAGTGGTATAAATTAGGTCCAAGTCTCATAGGAACTTAAGTCAAAGTTGAAAACTAGGACTAGTATACTTGATTCCCCAATTTCGCTTGAATCTCGGAATCACTACATAGAATGCCGATAAACCAATAAAAATAAATTATAAACATTATTTCTAACTTGAATAAAAGTTAGGAAACACGAAAATAATTTGAATTCTCAAAGACTCAATTTATTTTGATATCCAAAGATGTATTAAACTCCAAAACCCTAAAAGCCATAAAAACTCATATTTACAAACTTTAACCTTAAAAATTCTATAAAAATAATTATGAACCTTATAATATTATCTTATAATAATTAAATTCAGGAAAATATCATAAAGGAAAATAAAAATTAAGTTATTAACATTTACCCTTGATTTATAAGTCAAAAATCAAGAGTTTTATGCATAAAACTAGGTTAAGGTGTACATTTTATATAAAAATTAAGATATTTTATAAAAGGTTTGAACTTTATAAAAATGGAATGAGAGGGAAATGCTTTCTTATCACCCAAAACCATCCACCTCTTTCAAAGGCACCCTCTTCCCAACACAAAATCATTTTTCTTCACCCTTACACTCTTTCTCTCACTTTCTTTCATTTTCCATCATCACCACCACCCAAATTCTCTCCCACACTCTCTCAAACCACGAAAATCTCAGCAAAGCTCAGTCATTTCTACTCAAAAACTTCAACATTTGAAGTTGTTCTTGAGGTAAAAAAGAAAATCCTCTACTCCCCCTTCAATCTTCCTTCAAAATCTCAAGTTTTCTTGCATATCTTCTTCTTCTACACCATTCTATGGGTGGATTATGAATCATATATTCATAACCACGATTTTTGTAATGATGGTGGTAGTATTTCACCAAAAAACCAACATACATGTGATGATCTTCAAGCTTGGATGCTTGATGATCAAAGTTTGTTGTTAAAAGCTTTCAAATATGTTCATGAAGGATTTATTCCCAAATAAATATTTAAAACTTCTTTTCTGATCAAATCCGATTTTTCCCAGAATTTCACCCACAAAGTGTGACGTTCTACAAATTTTCAGAAAACAATTCATTTTTCTCGAATTATGATAATTATTGCAAGAAAATAGGGCAATGATTCATATAAAATACTTTCTGAGGTCTATAAATCCTACATAAATTCGTGGATGACTCCTAAACTAAATTATGACATGTCAGTGAGTTTCATCGATTTTGGTTACTGTTTGGTATGATTTTGAGTTTTCTTTTTGTTTATTTTTCATAATTTATAAAACCACTTTAGGTAATGTGAAAAGGCTATCTAAGATTTTTCGAAGATCCTACCTCCTATGTAATACTCAGAAAAAGATTTTCAGAATTTTTAATAATGCATACCTATTTTTCCCTAATTTTTGTATTTATAATGGACTAATAATGGGAAAAATACTTCTACGAATCCAAAATTCATGAAAATTTACCAAAAGACCTTATAATACATTAGAACTTTAAATAAAAATTTGGATGATTTTTATTTTCAGTATGTTATATTTCTTCTATTTTCTAAGATTAAATACACTTAAATCCACAAAATTGGATTACAGTATATAAAAATCATCATTGATATTTTTCCCGGATTATGTGCACTGTAAGTGAAGTTAAATTTTTTTTTTTGGTAATTTACTTTAACTGTTTGATAATTATTCACCAATTAATAATTATTCTCGAGAATAAAACAAAGAAAAATAGCAAAACTAAATGAAAAATATCTTTTATATTTTTCACAGCTTATATATGTCTAACAACAGTGTTACAAAAAGTTTGGGAAATTTTGAAAACTGTATTTTATTTATTTACATTTTTGTTAGAATAAATGCACAAAAATCATAAAATTGGGTTAAAATGTTTAGAAACTCATTTTAATATATTTCCCAACTTAAGAATGTTAATGGCAGTATTATAAAAATTTTGGGAATTTTTTTCATAGGATACAATTTTTCACGAATTTATATTGTTATGAAGGCTTAAAAATTTGGAAATATAGTTAATCACATCAAAAATTCAAGGGAAAATTTCTAGAGGACCTCTACTAGATTTAGAACGAAAATACAAAGTTTGAGAATTTTTGGAAACTGTTTGATAATATTTTGGATTTTTAGGAGTTTAAAACACCTTTAAATGTATTGAAATACGCTAAATTAATATTACCAAAATATGGAAAGCAATATCCAAAATTATCTTAATCACATGAGTTATAAAATTTCACCATTCAGAAACATGTTTGTAACTTAACAATATTAAATTTTGACGCAATATTGGCATAATTCGAATAGGAACGTGGTTCAAGGCACAATTTGCATCATCTCAATGCATTGTGAGTATTCACGACTCCCCCTATTTTTGGGTTTTAAATGTTTTGGTGTGGAAAAGCATGTCCAAAGACTGTTTATTGTTCGTTGTATTTAATTTGACTTGTATCAAACTTGGTTGCTATATTTTGTTGTGTATGTGTATGTTATTGTTAACTCATGAGGCCTTATCGCGTTTAAGTCCCTAGAATTAGTTCACACAACTCATTAACTCATTTGAGCCCATGGTCATTATGGATAGTGCTATTAGGAGGTAGACAACTCCTCACTCGCACGATTCGCTTGAGTGCATTTTACCATATTTCCCTATGTTAGCGATAGACATAGAAGAGGGCACCCTCGGTCATTAGGCTTGGGTTGTGAATTCATGATATAATCATTATGCATATACGAACCATGTATCTCGTTTTAGCAACAAACTTTAATTCAAATGAGAATATGAACGTTGCATCTTATTTGGGCAACATACTTTATCTATCATGATGACAACGAACTTTGTTTATGCAAACTTATTTACTCATTTTTTTCGATATATTTCTATTTATGGAAACTTTATTTCCCATGATAATATGAATGTTGCATCTCATTTAGGCAACATAATTTGTCTCTCATGAAGAAAACGAACTTCGTTTATGCAAACTTATTTACTCATTTTTGCAATATATTTCTATTTATAGAAACTTTATTTCCCATGAGAATATGAATGTTACATCTCATTTGGGCAACATACTTCATCTCTCATGATGACAATGAACTTTGTTTATGCAAACATATTTACTCATTTTTGCACTATATTTCTATATATGAAAACTTTATTACTCGCTTTAGCAACAAACTTCTTTTCATGAAAAATTATTTACTTATTTTAGAAAAGAATATTGTTTATGGAAACTGTTATCAATATCCTAATTATCATGATTTCAAACTATATTATGTTATAAACTTGTGAGTACTCACCAACTATTTTATAGTTGACGCTCATTTTACATGCTTTCTCAGGAATCATCTAGTAAGAGGCACGTAGAGACATATCACTTTTTGGAGCATGCACATGTGTTGT